TCTGATAGTTTGTGTGTTTAATTCCCATGCATCAAGGTTATTTTCATGTATGTAATTGTTTTTCCTGCACAGTGTAGAGTCTTGTTGTGATGAGAGGGATACAGGTATTTCATAAAATAAACGTGCTCCCTGGAGGTTAGCTACAGAATTGATATCACAATTTAATCGGAGCTGATCACAAGTTGTCATGACTGATCCAGTCATCTCGATGAGCGTTCGGGCTGTGAATAAACAACTTGTGTTTTACTTTTAGGCTGTCTGAAGGTATGGACAGCTATCAAGGCTACTATACATCACATTAAGAACGATGAACAAATGAAAGTCTGACACAAATATATAATTTAAATGATTTATTGAAGTTTGCAATGTTTTGAACAGGCATCCACACAGTCACCTACTTTGTAATGTTCGATACCTCCCTGTAAGCGTCACGATATCGGCCTCTCACCAACAACCTCACACAGTACTGAATGTGGAGCAAAGTGATCTTAGGAAGGCAGATATAGCAAAAGATGAACGTAAACGACAAACGATGTTTCTTTCCTGGTAAGTCAACAATGGGTCCTCAATGTACCCGCCCCGGATTCCTATGACGAAAATAATAGAATGTCACCAGTTTTCATGACTCAACTTATACTGCAACACCGGCCAGCTAACCAATCAGAGCAGACTGGGCTCTGGTTTCAGATAGATGGTGAAAAGAGGTGCTGCAGCACAGGCAGTGTGAGACAAATAAAGAGCTTTTGAACATTAAAGCATGGAGACATGTCACATTAGAGACACTACATACTGATGTGACCTGAAAATGAGCAGAATATGGCCCCTTTAAAAAGTGGGCCTTGAATCAAATCCCTTCATCTCCTGAATCAATTAAGGTTAACCCTATCCAACCCAAAAAACGTGCTGTTGCGTTAAAGGTCAAATACTGATCCGAAGCACACTGCAGGAAGCCTCCTCTCCTTGTTTACAATCCTCTCTTCCCCTCAGCGGAAAAGCTTGTCAGGCTAAATGAGCTGGACCTTCTGAAGGAAAAAGTGCTCAGTGAGAAACTGAAGCATCAAGCTGCCATCCACTGCTTGAATGACAGCTTGGATGAGACTGATGAATGTGGGAATAAGCAGAGGCAGGACACACTGGAACGTCGCATTATGGAAACAACCTCCTGGATTCTTAGGGGGGACAGAGCTAGTCATAGCAAGCAGCTGGAAAGTCTCCAGTTTCTTACTCTCGAAGAATCATCAATGCTGAAGGAGAAAGCGGACCTGGAAAGAAGATTCTCTGATCTTCATTTGTGGAGGAACCAACTCAAGGAAGATCATGAGATTGCCCTGAAGAGCTTGATTAACTCTAAAGAGGTAAGAGGACTTTTACTAACAACTTTGGTCAAATGTTGATATAATCATAATTAAGGGGGAATCTCGAATTGAGCCAGAGATCTCTTGATCTTCTGTCAAATGCTCTGCCACTGCGCTGAACCTCCTTTCTTTGAACTAAGTAATAGTGTCATTCTCCTTTTTTGTGTGTGTCGGGCCTCAACCTGGCCTCACTGTTTTAGAGAGAACCTGTGATTCTTACTATTCTTTGTGACCACATGCTGCTGTGGTCTTTAGCAAATGAGAGCGCAATATACGGGGCGAGGGATATATTAGTGGGAGTCGTAGAAGAAAAAATAAAACATCTGTAAGAATGGATTATCTTTTCATTTTCTTTCTAAATATCATACTTTATTGTTCCCGTAAGGTCATTTATTCAGAGGACAGGAGCTCGGGTTTGCAGCAGTGTCTACTGCACAGTTACTCAAATAAACAAATCAGCACACAAACAACATGAATTGCTAACTTATTGCGTGCATCAATTTGTTGAAGAAATGTCTTGTCTCCTTATTGGTTTCGTCCATGTTTAGTGTGATGTATTAGTGTCTATAGAATGGTACAGAAATGAATCCTGAAAACCCAAATTGAGTTAGCGTTTTAGTGCCTTCAGTTCGAAAATGTTTGAATAATCTTTGGTTAGATCGCTTAAAAAAGGTCTGTGGTTAACACACAACGCAAGCTGAAGATATTTCCCGTTTTATTCTACAACATAAAATACATAAATAAATACCCCACTGATAAACGCCAAAAGCTTTGATGTCTGATAAATACAGTAGTTGCTAACAAGCGACAGATTGTCACTAAACATGATTGCGCCGTACACAAGTTAGCCTTCAGCTTAGCAGTGGTGATGCGCAGGCATTGTGAACTTCTTTTAGAGCCTAACTTTTTAACCCTTGCAATTTCATTTACACTGTATTAAATTGGTGTTAATATGCAGATTATCCTCAAGATTGATCTTCTTTCTCCAGGAGAAGACCCAGGTGAGCAAAGTGTTGATGAAAATGCAGATGAAACAAAAGAAGGCCGTCACCACTGCGCATAAACAGAACAAGGCTCTCAGGTAAGGTTTCCCTCTCTGTCCTTACCTAAGATTCAGATTCTCATTACTTGTCATGTAGAAGTTATTTCAAGGACGTTATAACCCACAAGCTTTACTGAATCAAACCTAATCTGCAGGGCTCTCAAGTTTTGAACAGAGTTCAGAGTGAGATTTTGGTACTCCAACTTCTGGCTCCACTCAAAGTTCCCGTGAAGCCCTCTGTACCGCGAATGTCAACGGGGGGGGCGGGTGCTAGTGGAGTATGAAGCCCTCTGTATCGCGAATGTCAACGGGGGGTGGGTGGGGGTGGGGGTGTGTTAGTGGAGTATGAAGCCCTCTGTAACGCGAATGTCAACGGGTGCTAGTGGAGTGCACGCGTCTCAAACAAGCCTAGTTTGTTTACAAAATTGCGGCGCAACTTGGTGGGCGGTACCCTGGAAAGAAATCTCTGCGTGAGAAATACAAGGTGTGGCGTGTGAGCGTGTGAATGGAGTCAAATGCTTGAGAGCTCTGAATCTGGGTTTTAATCAGAGTCAGAGACCTTCTGATCTGTTGTGATTCGTCCACCATTGAACTATACTCTTACAATTATGTTGTTTTTAGAAAGCGTGCATCAATGAACTTTCCAAGCAAAGACGGGTCCGAACCAACGAGGGAACAGCTTCAGAAGGAGAGGAGCAGGATAGGGAAACTGGAGACCATCATGCAGGATGGAGACATCTTTGTGAACCAAATCATGATGGTAAAAACACACTGTCTCTCAAGGGTGAACTATGGGAATTTCAGATTTTTTTAATGAAAACCATAAAGTATAATGGGGCCTCTTCAACTTTTGTATATGAATAAAAAACGGAAACATCGATGGTTGGTTTCAGCATACTCTTAACATTCAAAAATGTGCACATTTATTTATTTACCTATAACATACTGTATGTTGACCCTAACCATAAGACTGAAGGTACATTTTGATGTATTTTGACCAACCAACAGGGAAAAAGCCACACACATCTGCGGTCATAGAATAATTAAAAGAACAGCTTCCCCTTTTAGGATTGATTTCTGGCTTATTTATACCGACTATAACGTCTCTTCTAATGTATTTTTTATGCATGTTTTCACCTGTGATGTTCATCATTTACCACATTATGGTTGGGTTGTTTGTTAATCGACCCACATTTAAAATTGGTTGACCTCAGCATTTGAAATAATACTGAAAAAGTACGGTTTACCCCCTTAATTATGTCAGGAAAATTATGCAGGGATGAGACATTATTTAGCTTTTTAGTCTCATTGCATGTTGTTATCTCAATGAGAAGAGAACATTCAGTTTTTCTGGGTTGAGCTCTGATGTTGTCGTGCCCTGCAGGGCTCAGAGAAGTCTGGGTGGAAGACACAGTGGCTGCTGGAGACCCTGCATAGCCTCTGCCCTCCGACCCTTGGAGAGCGGCCCCGACCTCAAAGACCCGCCCAGAAAGAACCTCCGAAAACAAAACACGAGGACCACATCCAGAGCCATCTGGCTGGAGCAGAGCCAGAAGCAGATTAGCTGTTAACAGTCTCATCAAAATCTTAATGTTGCTTTATCAGCTGTGAGTCAATATGCAATAAATAATATTAACAGGAATTTAGACAGTGTTTATAATGTATTGTCTATGTTGGAGAGAAACTTTGGGATTTTAGCCTTTGCACACTACAGGAAAGGGAACCCCCCCCCCCCC